AAACAGTATGCTGAGAGCCAAACAGCGAGGGAACCACCGGCAGCACCACAGCCAGAGGCAGCAGCTGGACCCAAACAGACAGCGTTAACACAGGCATTTGATAAAAGCTTCCGTATGAGAAGACAAGCAAGCGGTGCAAAGAGGTCAAAGATACATGTAAGATCGTGATAAAATCAAAATCCTGATTTTATAATAAAAAAAAATTGTGATATGATATTTTTGCCATGTTGCCCACCCCTACTCAAAATGTACTTGAGTAAACAGACTTATTTTCCACCTCTGGTTATGACAACAGTCTCATTCAAGCAAAAACACATTAACCAATCACTCATCTCCACAGAACCTACCGCACAAATGGAAGATTCACTGCTTTTCTCTCTTATCTTTTTAATCTTATTTCATGCTACTGTTTTTAGTGGGGTTTTTTTTCCTTAGTTGTGCCATCTTTGTCGCTCTGGCGTCACTGGTCACCTGACAGACATGTTAATGAAGCAGATTTAGCTGAATTGATTAAAAGTATTAAGGAACATTTTATTTGACGGTTTACTCAGTTTATTGTAATTATTTAAGACTACAGATGTGATGTAATCTGGCTGATTGAGATGTAGAGCTCTTTGTTTACGTCCGCTGTCACAAAGGTATCATAAATTTAAAAATATTATTAATAAATGCAGCATTTGCATTTCTTCTTCTTCTTATTATTATATTTATTTATTTATTCTCTTATCTTTTCTATGTATCCCCATTCAGAAGCCCATTCTCACATTCCGTTTGCACTATTCTCCATTTATGTGTACTTTTATACTTGTTTGCACTATTTCTTGTATTTATATGTACATTTTTCTGTCAAGTATGTGTGTATCTCTATGTGTAATGCTGCTGACCAAAATGTGAATTTCTCCACAGTGAGACCAATAAAGGCATATCTTATCTTATCTTATCTTGTCTTAGCATTATCATTCAATAACTGATTGTTTTTGCTGTACAAGTAAAGTACAAGGGATGTTTGTCTGGTTCTGATGTCACTGTTTAAAGCCTCAAACACAAAACACTCTGGAATATATCTACATCTAGTTAATCATGAACTCGTCTTTTTTCATTTTTACGCTGATGACATACAACTGTTCCTGCCTGTTAAATCTGTCAAAAAAAAAGTTCTTCAATTGATAAAACAAAGATTATAGTTTTTAGGTCGCAGCACCTGGTAAAACATGTTCTGCCATCAGCTGGATTAAATCAAGACCAAGATACTCAGCGTCCAATCTGACAGTGATCTGAGTTTTCAGCATCGCCCCAAAAATTTTTTTACAATCTTGGAGATATTTAAAAAATATCCTCTATCTTCACTTTTAACCCTCTAAATCTTTTTAGAATCCAGAATGACCATAAGGAGACGAGTGATGGAACAAGGCTTAAAGGGAAGAATAGCTGCTAAGAAGACATTATTGAGGCCTGGAAACACCCAGAAATGCCTCAGATTTGTCGGGGAGCACAAAAACTGGACTGTTGATGACTGGAAGAAGGTCCGGATGGATGAGTCCAAGTTTAAACTCTTTGGTCAGCATCGTTGTGTTCATTTCCGAAAAGCTGGAGAACGTTTTGATGCCAGATGCATTACACCCACAGTGAAACACAGTGGAGGCTCCATTAGGGTATGGGGTTCCATTTGTGGAAACAGCGTGGGCAAATTAGTGAAAATCGACAGTATCATGAACAAGAACATCATCTAAAACAACATCTTACAGCATCTTGGAATCCCTTCTGGACTGAATCTGAGTGGGCGTGGGTTCATATACCAACAAGACCATGACCCCAAGCACACTTCAAAGCTGTGCAGAGACTATTTGACCAAGAAAAAGAAATTTCTGTAACTGGTGGACCGGCCAAGTCAAAGTCTGGATTTAAATCCTATTGAACAAATTTTGAATGTAGTACGTTCAAAGATTGCTTGCACAACAGTTTCATCGAAAGCAAGTCTGTGGGAAGAGCTAGAAACTATTTGGAACTCAACAACAAAAGAGACATAAAAACAACGCCAGAAGAATGCCAGCGGTTATCAAGACAAAGGAGGCCAAACAAAATATGAAGGTTTTTGGTTTTTGTGTGTGAAAAAGGATTATTTAGTTGTTTCTGTTTGTTATTTGCCAAATAATTAACGATAACATTTTTAGTTTTGGGCTGCAGGGTGACGCAGTTGATAGCACTGTTGCCTCGCAGCAAGAAGGTTGCCGGTTCGCGTCGTGGTGGGGGCACCGGGATCTTTCTGCGTGGAGTTTGCATGTTCTCCCCGTGCAGGGTTCTCTCCGGGTTCTCCGGCTTCCTCCCACACAGTCCAAAAAAAAAAACATGTTGAGGTTAATTGGTGATTCTAAATTGTCCGTAGGTGTGAATGTGAGTGTGCTCAGTTGTCTGTCTCTCAGTGTGGCCCTGCGATGGACTGGCGACCTGTCCAGGGTGTCCCCTGCCTTCGCCCTGAGTCGGCTGGGATGGGCTCCAGCCCCCCCGCGACCCTAGTGAGGATTAAGCGGTGTATAGAAAATGGATGGATGGATGGATGGATGGATGGATTTTTAGTTTTCTTGTGTTGGTAACATCTGCCTCAGAAAAACGTTGACTTCAGGACTTTATATTGTCGTGTCTCAATATGTTTCTTCCTCTTTACTCTGTTAACTTTGAGGACAGACTTTCAGATTTGACTTATGGAGTACTGAGAGTGCCAGATTACAAAAATAAATCAGTAAAAGAATAAATAAATAAATAAAAGTGGAAATAAAAAGAAGAATAAATACAATAATAATTCATTTTGTTTTTTTAATATAGGTTTTTTTTGTTTGTTTTTTATTGTTATTTTTTTCTTTCTTTTTTTGCTTTTAAAACGACATTTAATTTAAAGCAACATTTAAAAGCAAAGGAAAGATGTGCAGAAAAAGGTGCGCAATAGGGATGTCATGCGCACCTTTTTCTGCACATCTTTCCAACGAGAGGAACAACTGCAGTAACTTCTTTTTTTTTAAAAAAAGATATTTTTTGGGCTTTTCCACCTTGAATGATAGTGAAGATAGACAGAGAAATGTGGGGAGGAGAGTGGGGGAATGACGTGCAGCAAATAAGCCGCTGGCTGGAATCAAACCGCGGCCGTGCATCAGGGATTAAAGCCAATATACATGGGTCGCCCGACCTACCCGCCAAGCTATCTGGGCGCCCAACCGTAGTAACTTCATTAATTACGTAGAATTATAAAGTATCCTCAACATTAAGACAGGATGGATCAGGATCTAGCAACACACTGTGAACTTTTCTTCACTTCAGACAAGTGAGGATCGCAATTTAGTTTGTCACTTCCAACTGTTTAGGAGTATTTCCTCTGAGTTTATTAAAGACTTGCAGCAATGTGCAGCCATTTCATTAGTTTTATTTATAAAACTATCTCCAACATGGACACAGGATGGATCAGAATGGACAGAGTTTTTATTTAGGAAATCATAAATAAACTGGGGTGTTAGTTTATAGGACACTTTTGCTTTAGTTTTTTATTTATTTTTTCGTGTGTTATTATGAATTATACATCACTTTGTCTGTTGTCTGATTTCATGTGAATGACGAACATCATCTCATGTCTTTTTCTGTCACTGGGTAGCAGACACTGTGAGGAACATTGACAGAAAAGTAACTTATGTGTGAATGACAGAATGCCGTCGCTTAACTTAAAAGGGTCAAAATGCCTCGAGTGATATGAACGTGTGTTTTTAAGGTTCAAAGTGGTATGAAAACGCACACGAGAAATTATATTTAAGTTTAGGGAACTAGCAAAATTCATATATTTACATTAAGTAAATGTGAAACAATACGTTGATTTGACTATATTCTGTTACAATGTTTTACAGTGAGTGTTTTTTTGTTTGTTTGTTTGTTTGTTTGTAATGATTTTTACTCCCTGTAACAGACTTTCCTGCAAAATTACAGTAAAATACTGGCAGCTTTGGTCACCAGTATTTTATTTTACTGTGTTTTTAATGCTTTACTTCAACAGTGAATTCCTGTCACAGAACTCTACAGAAGAATATGTGATCTACTGTTTGATGCTGTAACTAGACTTTCCGATAAAAAAACTGCATTTATATAGTGCTGCCACTGTAAGAAACCTTAACCATAGCTGCCTATATAAGAAAACATTTTCCTCTTTTAAAATGTATAAACTGTAAATTGTGGACATATATAAATAACAAAATGTCTTTAGTCTTTATAATCCACAATTGAGAACTCTGTTTAACAGTTTAAAATGCGTGTAAAACAGTTAAACAATAGAGGATAAGTTGCATTTTTATGGAACATTAACCAAAGGCTGCAAAGTCTGACAAACTGTAATCTGTTACATATATTTTAGAAACCAAGAAAATATATTTTACCTTAATGTAAAGAATGCAAAGCTGTCCTGCCTCAATGCATCAGTGTAAAGTTATAAATAATGTTGCTAGCTGCCAAACCAGGTCTCACTAGATTTTACGTTCAGTTCATTCTTGTTTTTGGCTCAAAGATCATCAGAGTTTACATTTTTAAGTGTATTTTGTAAAAGCTGTTGGCTGCTGTTAGAGTTTGGCTGCATTTTGTCACCATTTCATCACAGTGTTCAGGGTGTATCTGTGGTTTGTTGAGTTTTCCACGTTAAGACGCACTGAAACAGTTGAAGCCCCTCCGGGCGGTTCTCCGGTAAACACTCGGTACTTGGCTGATCTTTACGCACGGCAGCACGGATACGCTTGGCTGCTGCTGTGCGTCGGTGAACCGTCGGTGAAAACCTCCATGATGTTCGTGAACGAGCCTCCTTCTGCGGCTGCGGCGAAAAGCAAACCTGAGCCCGGAGGCGTAGTTTTTTTTCCTGCGCAGCGGCAGGACTTGACATGTCTGATCCGAGCCCAGGATCCACCCCGAGCACCGACCCACCGGCACCGAAAACAGCCCCGCTCCCTCCCTCCCTCCCCCCAGCCCTCCCCGCTCCTCACCTTCACTGATACCTGATCGATATGTGCGGATCGATGCGCTGCGTCCGGCTCCGGTGTGTCCGCGGCGTCCAGGTGTCTCCCGGCGGGCCGCCTCCTCTACATGCTGCGCCACCGTGAACCCGGAAAACAGCCGCTGCGCGCTCCGTTAACTATAAAAGGAGTGATTTCCTCAGGAGGAACTGAACTCTGAGCCAATCAGAGAGCGGCAACCGCAGCTGCAACCTGAGGGGTCGACCGACGGAGGCAACGGGAGCTTCGGTGCAACCGGAGCAGAGAGGAGGAGGGTTGACGAGAAGCAGTGGAGGAAACTGTGTCAGATTTGAACTTTTAAATCACTTTTACCAGAGAATAAGTCAAAATTATGAACAAAAACTTAATTATGTTATATTTCTACAAGTGCCAGTCAAAGATATTGTCTCAGTATCTCGTTATTTGGACTTTTACAGTAATATTTTCAATATCATTTTTATCTGAAACCCATAAAAATCAAATTAAGTAAAATCATTTTAACTTTGTGCCTCAGTATATTGAATTTAAAGTTATAAATTGCACTTCATCTCTCTTAATCTTGACCACAATTTTCACTTAGTACCTTTTAAACATGGCTTTGGTAAACATTTTAAGTCAGTGGCTCACAGTCCTGACTTAAACAGTTAGCATATTAACTTTACTGGCTCATAATTTGGATTTTGGAGTCATAATTCCACATTAAAGTCAACTCAGGATCATGATCCTGACTCTCAAAATCCTGATGTTTTTCCTGGTAAGTCATTGTATTGAATAAGTTTTTGAAAGTCACAGATCTCCCTTTATATCAACTAATCTTTAGTGTGGTTAGTAGTTTCAGTTAGTTTCTCTCAATCCATCCATCCATTATCTATACACCGCTCAATCCTCACCAGGGTTGTGGGGGGCTGGAGCCTATCCCAGCTGACTTAGGGTGAAGGCAGGGGACACCCTGGACAGGTCACCAGTCTATCACAGGGCTACACTTAGAGACAGACAACCAAGCACACTCACATTCACACCTCGGGACAATTTAGAATCACCAATTAACCTCAACATGTTTTTGGACTTATGGGAGGAAGCCAGAAAACCTGGAGAGAAGGAAAAATATGCAAACTCCGGACAGAAAGATCCCAGTGGACATGAACCAACAACCTTCTTGCTACAAGGCAACAGTGCTAACTAACTGCGCCGCCTTGCAGTCCGTTTCTCACAATCTTGACATTAAAATTTAAAATATGAACTTACAGTCTCTCAGTTTGGACTTTAACAGTTGTAACATCATCATTTCTTTCACCTAAAAACCATTCAATTAAACTTAATATAAATTTTACTTTGTGTCTCATTACAGTTATTTGAAAGTTGTAACTTAATGTATCTTTATTTTGATCTAAAAAATCACACATTTCACTTTGTATCTACTGATCTTTAGTTTAGTCACCAATTTCAGTCAATATCTCAGAATCCTGACTTGAACAGTTAACATATTAACTTTACTATCTCATAATTTGGACTTAAAAGTCACATAAAAATCATTAAATTACTTTTAGTATCTTAATCCTAACTTTAAAAGTCCTGAATTAAAAAGTTATAATTTTAATTTTGTCTCTTAGAAGTCACAAATCTCACTTTATGTCAATTAATCTTGAGTTTGGTCACCAGCATCAGTTCGTCTCTCACAACAATGACCTAAAAAAAGGCAAATAACAAACTTGCTATCTCACAATTTGGACTTCAACAGTTACAACATAATTTTGACCAAAAAATAATCTTAATAATATAATTATTACTTTGTGACTTATTAAGTTTAGTTATTATTATAAATTGTGATTTGAACTTATTCTTATTCAATCTTACCTTACAAGGTCCCAAATTTCACTTTAAATCTACTAATCTCGAGTTTCGTGTCACAATCTTGACAGAGAAAAGTTAAAATTTATACTTGCTATCTGACAAGTAGATTTTTAAGTTTAAGTTAAATCTAAAAGTCAGTTAAGTATCACAATGGCGACTTTGAAAGTCTTAACTTTTCAGAAATGAGTTATGTTATGATTAGATTTCACAAGAAGACACAAATCTCACTTACTGAGATTAAAGTAATAAAAATCGTCATTAAATTAAATTTCATGATCTAATTTTGACTGTGAGTCTCATTAAGTTGAATTGTAAAGAACAATTTGAACCTTCTTGTCTTTTGAATTTAATCACAAATTTCAGTTAGTATGAAAAACTTTAAAAATGAACTTATCTCATAATTTGGAAGGTAAATGTTCTAATTTGAACATAGTACATGGTCATTTTCTCCTGAAAGTCCTAATATTTAAAATTGGAGTGAAACATTTCAACATTGTAGAGGAGAAAGAGAAGAATATTTTAATTCTGTCTGTACATTAGCAAAAATGTCAGCATTTTCCAGATATTTGCTGTAGTAGTATGAAAGAACAAGAAATGTATATTGAGGATTGGAAAGTGAAAATAAATAAATAAGTAATTTTAACTGTTATTTTACAGATATTACCTGTTACATTAATGTACCAATTATTTAAAGTAAAATCACAGAAAAACTTATTCATCTACATGTTAACTGTGTAAAAAGAAATTGTTCAAACTGTATGTAATGGCCGCATCATATTTTTAGAAATACTATTTTGTTCTTTTCCAATGTATGAACCTAAATGTACAGTTTTATTGCCTTTACATCAGCTAAAATCCATTATTTTATGGATATTTGCAATAGTTTTTACAGTATTTGAGTGTTACACTATGCAGTACAGTACATATCATTTCTGGGTCCTTTGCTGTCAGATTTTCACTTTTTTTAAATTGATGTTACTAAGCATAATTGTTATCATATTTTATATGTAAGGTTTTTTATATTTATACATAATAACAATTAGAATCTATTGCAGGTTTTATGTGTCATTCATTTCTGATTTTACACCAATATTCAACACAAAGCACCAAGAATTTCCTGGATTTTCAAGAAATTAATTTAGCCCAGTTACGTATCCTACATTTCCCATGTTGCCTTGTGCTAACGGAAATACGTCATCACCCGTGACCTTGGCTCTCTTCCTTCTCTTGGTTTTGTATCAGGACGAGCATGGCGAGTAAAGACCCCGGCGTGAGTGTGTGTGTTTTTATAAATCCTGCTTCGGCCTGATGTTTTCTGACAGTCTGTGTGTTCGGTTCGGTTCGACTGTTTCCGATTGTTTGCTCTGCGCTGCGTGACATTTTTAAAAGTGGGACACGTGAGTCTGATGTAAGCTAGCTTACTGTGACCGTAATGCCAGCTAAGTTACATCCAGCTGCTTTAAAAACGAATAATCAGACAAAAGTCATAGCTGTGCCTTCGTTAAAGATAATTAATGTCGACATGTGAACATTTCAACAACAGTCTAGCAGGAATATTCAAGTGAGCCGCGACGCTGCATAGAGACGCCAGGTTCCGTTTAGAAATCATGCAAATTAACACATTCTGGTCTTTTTACAGATGCATACGCATTATGAATTTATTCCATTACATTTTGTATACGTTTCCCAAATCCTTTCTTTAATTCAGCATTCATGTCTTACACTGAAGAGCATCAGATTTGCGGGCAGTTAAGCTTGAAGCCACTGATGTTATACAAGCAAAATACCGTTTGCATACAAAACATATGCAAACCCATGAAAGAAGCTGATAGTCTGTTAAACTAACTTCGTTACGTGAGGTTAATGTTAGCCGAATTTAAACTTGGAGACCATAAATTATTAGCAGCTGTTCAAATGTGTCCAATTGTGTGTTGCTAACATTTCATAGTCTTGCAGGAAGTTGTGCAGAGACGCCAGATTCCACAAAAAAATGTACAATTTAACTATTTATGTATGTATGTATGTATGTATGTATGTATGTATGTACGTATGACTATTTACAGCCATACGCATTGTAAATTAATTCACTAAAACTTAGCAGAAGTTTCCAGATTCCTCTCTTTAATTCGGCATCGGTGTCTTCCACTAAGCCGCATCAGATGTGAGGACAGTTACGCCTAAAGCCACTGATCTTACAACAAACAGACCATCGTTAACATACAAAAACACTATTAGCCAGCCAATGAAGAAGGATGCTTTTCTGTTCAACTAACTTAGCTTTGTGGGTTTTATGTAAGCCAAATTTACCTGTAGAGTTCATAAGTTAAAAGCAAATAATCAGCTGTGTCCAGCTGTGTGTTATTTTGTTTTGCCATGGATTGTTAAAATAGTTGCTTTTTAAAGGAAGTTTTGACTGTCCTGCACAGAATGTGCTTGTGACTGGACACAGTCCATGTAGAGTTGCTTGCTGGGAGGTGTCAGCCTTCATCGTAGTTACCCAGTGTGAAGGTCATTCAGTGTCATGTCTAATAGTTTCCACTCTGAAGGACACTAGGATTTTACACACTACATTCAGCACAGTGTGTGTTCTTTTAGTGATCTGAGCTCAGCTGAAGCTGTGATATTTGTGTTTCAGAGTTTTCTGCAGCAGCTGCGGCAGATAGCAGGCAGAATGTCATCGGGACCTCGGGGTGCAGGACTCGGTATGAAGCTGCTGATCGGTGCAGGAGCACTCGCTTATGGAGTGAAGGAAGCCACATACACAGGTAGGCCTCTGTGCTTTGAATATCATGCAGACGTAAATATTTGGTATATCTGGATTCAGACGCCAACACGTCAGAAAACAATTTTCATTCATCTGTTTTTTTGCTGGAATACACAACAGCTTGTGGCAGGTTTGTCACATTTTGAACTTTATTCAAATAATGCACCATATCTACACATAAAATCACTTTGGTGCTTACAGTTTCTATTTCTTTGTCTTGTAGTAAAACTGATAAAAGATGAATAAAAACTTCCAAAACTTGAATCCATTGACAGATTTTAGGCAGGCCAATATTCTGCACCTTCTAAATAAAATCTCCTTAGTTGTCCCACGAGATTCTGTGCAATGAAAACTAGGATTGGATGACACTGGAAAAAAGTGACACTGGCAATATTAACATCGTATTTTATCTCGAATATTCATTGGTTTTCAGGACAAAATATTTTTAAGATACTGTCATGCTTGAATAGACAGCACTACTGTCACTTCCACGTTGTGCTACATTCCTGCTAATGTACAAATCTACAGCAAAATCTTGTTTCCTGTCTGCTTTGTATAAACACAGCCTTCAGTTCAACGGAAATTCCCTGATTTTTTTGTCTTATTCCAGCTGTGACAGTCATGGTGTCTCGGTTTCAACAAGAAAATGTTTTTTGTAGAATCTGGTGACATCAAACGGTTTAATTTGAGCAAATTTATAAATAAGACATGTAGAATACAGTGATTTTTGATAATGTAGTGCAATTTATTAACTAGTTTTTGGTTGTTTTTCAGAAAAAAGCGAATGTACACATGATTAGTTCAAGGACTGTTGGAAAGTTGAAAATCTGACCTGTTTTTAAACCTGCTGGTGGGTTTTGGGGATCAGAGGGTTAAACGGAGTTAAAAATATAAAACTCATTGTATCCAAGAACCCTTAACTAAGAATGAATGATGTTCTCTTGCGGATTAGTTGTGGAAAAGGAAAACTACATAAGATTTCTTCTCATATTAACCTGCAGAAACAGCTGAAACTTGAGGTGTCTGAGTTAATTTGTCGTCCTTCACTTCTCACTTGTGACTGTTCACACATCACAGTGTTGATGCAGAAACACTGTTCACGCTAATGAAAACTATTTAGCCAGTTTAAGTAGAAAAGACGTGATTTTTCTTGTGTTGTTTTTAATCACTGTGTGCAACACTGAACATTAAAAGAAGAAGAAAAATATGTTGGAGACTAAAAAATGTAGCAAAACATGAGAAATGTCAGAAACGGCTTTATTTTCAGAGTTTAAGGTTCTCGTATCCACTGTGTTCAGTTTTATCAGCGGGTGTTTAGAGTTTTTTTCTGCACATGACTGCAGGAGATTGCACGTATTTTTAAATCCAATTATACTGACAAAATCCAAAGTATTATCTTCATCCATATTAGCATACATGAAAACACATATTACATGATCCTTGAGTGGAATTTGCTTAAATTAACATCTTTCCTCGTGCACATGTAGGCAGCAGTTTGCAGTGTAAAACAATAGAAAACAGTTAGATGGTGGAAAAATCTGAGAATGAAACATTGGGACAGTAAGATTCAATCCCAAAGTGAACATGGCAGTCATTTTTTCCAGAAATGTCAGTTTTCGTCTGTCCAGACTAAAACACAACCCTGTACCTTTCAAACTAAAACAGGGTTGGCAGTGTTTCCAAAGTCTCCATTTTAAGGTTTTAAAACTCTGGAGCAGTGTGGATGCTACGTACAAACGTAGCAGAAGTTCTGAGTTTTAAAATGAAATCCTTGAGTGCTTTTAGAACAGTTGACTGGACTCTTAACATAATGTGCATGATTGAATAAGATTTTGAACATTCAGAAGTAACAGAGTGAAAGTTCAGAATTTTCTCTAAAAATAAATACAGTGTGCTGCAGTAAAACTACTCCAAGTACAGTTTCCTCTAGAAATACATGTATCACAGTAACTCATCACTGCCTACTTGTGGCCACAAAACCAAAAGAGTTGTTTGTTTTACTGTTAACTGCTGTAAAAGGAAAAATACAGTTGTGTTCTTGTTAATGGTGAAATAAAAGCTTGAAGAAACTAAATAATTTATTTTCAGAGAAAATTCGACTTTTTCAAAAAAAATTGCTCAACAATATTTGACAAATGTGAAAAGGGACCAATGTGTCTATCGACTTTTTTAAAAATAGAGTTCTCTGGTTTAAATGAGAAATAATACAAACATTGGAGAATATTAATCTCACAGACAACATGTTTACATTGCAAAAAACATTTAAAAAGTACTATTTTGGATTTGATTCATTAGTTTGTATTGCCCTAAATAGAACTTCATGGAAATCAGGATTTGGTATGAAGTCTATTTCTGGCATAAGGAAGAAAAATAGTAACTTAATTTCATTTATTGAGATCTTTTTTATATGAATTAGATAAATAGGATCCCAAACATGCAATACAAACAAGCGGTTGTATAGATAATGGATGGATGGAAGTATTTGTTGTGATTGTACCTGAGTAATTTACATACTAGGGATTAAAACATTATAAAATTAAATTCTATAAAATACAACTGTTCTTGACTGTAGTACATATGATTGCTGAGACCCTGTAGTGTTATCAATTATGGACAATAACTTAGCTAAGGTAGTTATATATCCCAAGAAACGGTATTATAAAAAATGAAACTTAACCTAACTAACATAAATATAATGCATAGTCATTAAATTAATATATTATTATTTAAAACTCATCAATTTGAGAGGTTGGGATTTTAAAAATCTTTTTTTTTTTTTTTCCTGAAATGTTGTCTTTTTTGTGCAGTTGAAGGAGGCCAGAGAGCGATAATCTTCAACAGGATCGGAGGGATGCAGATGGACACGGTGCTCGCAGAAGGACTCCACTTCAGGTGTCAGTCAATCAATCAATCAGGCTTGACCTCTTTTTAGATGGAGGATATGGAACATTGTCGCTTCATCAGTTCGTTACACTGGCCGTCATTCATTTTCATTCATGTTCCTCACACAGTGTGTCCTGCTGTTAGATTCTGATCCATCCTGTGTCCATGTAGGGGATCATTTAAAATGATAAGGAATTAATGAAGTTCCGGCTGTTGCTCGCTGTGTAAATGTGCTCATTTCACTCTTCATGGATCCTGCTGCTGTCTCATGCTGCAGATATTTAATACAGTTAGAGGATGTAGTTCTCAACAACTGGAGGCTACGATATTCAGCTCCTGTTAGTTCTAGTGGGGAAAAGAAGTCGGATTGCATCAGTAGTGTGGATGGTTTGGAGATGGATCAGCCTCCCTCCTGCCTGATCTCAAGAGTGGTTTATCTAATATTTGATGCCCCTAATGCCTTAATTTTGGAGTCTTGGAGTTGATCGGTTTGTTGGCTTCTGCTTGAAAATGTATTTCAGTTTATCGTTTATGTTTTACATGATGCCTGCTAAATGGGTGAATGGTCATATAGTTTTATTGATCTGCTGATCATGAGGTGCGAGAAATTCAAAGAGGAAATGCATTACATTGTCTTTGTAAGAAATTTTTAGTTGTACTTTTCTTTTTTTACACTTCTGAGAGTTCACAGTGGAAATAGAAAAAGAAAGTGGAAACGTGGCTCACCCAGCTATCCTGCCTCAGAAAGCCGGCAAAATATTCTTGTTTTTGAAATGAAAAATCAAATTTTTCTTTCCCGTCAGGAGGATTTTTATCTTTTTAATTGCTCATACTTTTTTTGCAGAACTGATTTACACACGCAGCAGCAGAAACGAGGCAAAATGAGCAAAAACAAAACAAAAACAGATTGCTGCTGTGTGGATGCCATTTTGTTTGTTTTTCTCGGCTCTTATTAGACTGTAGTAGTTCCATAGCTCATCGTGTGAACGCTGTGTCTTCACTGACTTATGAGCTGAATGCAAGAGAAACTTTAAATATGTTGTTGTCTGCAGGATACCCTGGTTCCAGTATCCCATCATCTATGACATCCGAGCCCGACCCAGAAAGATCTCCTCTCTCACTGGAAGCAAAGGTCAGACACTTTCAGCAGCAAAACAAACACAACTTCAGCTTGAAAGAAGAAGCTTGTGGTTCAGTTTGATCGTGTGTGTGTCTGTATTGTTCAGCTTCAAAAGACAAAAATGCTGAAGTTCTCACAGTTCTTCTTCTAAATGCGAATGTTTTCTACATCAACGGACTGATAGTTGTTGGTTTTTGTGCTGTTGCTTTGACTAAACAAGGCATTTGAAGACGTCACTTTTGATTTTTAAACATGGTAGTTTATTCTATTTTTTTTGACCAAGCAATCAGAAAATATTGAAAATGAACCACACAGAAAACCTGCAAGAAGAATGGCGCTTGTCTGAGAATCTTTCAAAAGCCTTTTGGACTTAAATTCAGGACTTTTTTTCCCTTTGGGTATGACTTAACTCACTAAGTTTATTTTTCTGAGGTCAGATGAGGTTTAGGTTTTGTTTGATTGTGTTTTGAAGTCTCTGTGAAGAAGAGGTGCCGACGCTACTCTAAAAAGGATGGAGGAGGACGTAGGGATGGGCGATATGTCATTTCCCGATATATTTAGGCTGAATATCGCTAACTGATATATATCCTGATGTTTTTTTTCTGCAAAGTGAGAGTGAGTGTACCGTCAACGTCAACGCCAAATATAACATGTCACAATTAGTTTTCTTGAAACCGGCAATTTCAGTGAACAGTTACAAAATGAAATGAATAAATAATAAAATAATACAACAGGTTTCTTCACCTGGTTTATGAATAAATACTCAGCTGTTCAAATAACAATAGAATGTAAACATAAATACTGTCTAACAAGGAGTACCTTTTTTGAAATCAAAGCCCTGTAAGGTGTTTTGTTGTTGTTGTTCTTAGTATTTATGCTATTTTTTTTAATGCTACTTCATATTTTTATTCCACTAAAAACTCCACAATGTTTAGGCATACGTGTCAACATTAGTTTCTAGTTACTTTGCAGTTTGCTCTTTCAATCCAGAGAAAAACTATAGTTTATCATAATAACTAAATATATGTTAAATTGATTATATATTTCTTATACAGTCTATGGTGCAGAGATCTCCAGGGGTCCTTTTCACAAAGCACGTTCAACAAACTCTGAGTCTAATCCTGAACTCTGAGTTCATCTACTCTGAGACAGGAAACTGAGTTTCCAGTTCCAGAACAGCAGTTTTGATTCAGTTTAGTCAACTTGGAGTAGTTTCACCTGGAGGTAAGCACATGCACCACAACTATAAAAAGCCAGCATCAATGAAGCCCCAAGTCGATGAGTCACCATGGCAACGGGAAAGCAGAGGGCTGCGTTTTTTACCCCACTAGAATTAGAAATCTTAAGTGCAACACCTCTGCAGCTGCAAAACAGAGGGAGATGGCGTGGAGAACATTGCTGCTCGGGTCAGTGCGTACGTTTGTCCTCCTTTGCAATCACAATAATATTACAGGACAAAACTGCTTAAATAGTAGCCTATTCATTTACTTCATTTAGGTGCAATCCCGTGGCAGCAGCTTATATGAAATCTAGAAACATTGTTCAAGTCTGATGTTGCAGCATGTTGGAGCTGAATCTCAATCTACCAGAAATTAAACTATGTGTGAGATAGCTCCTGCGCATTCGTTTAATGAAGCAATAGGAGAAGATATTTAGGTCTCACTCAATGTATTTATTTATCAGATAGTTGAATAAGCATACAGAGCTCTGGATCAAACTTCTCACCCTAGCACCAACAAAGTTAATGTCAGGGCATGAAGTCAGACTGACTGCCTCGCCATGATCCAGTATACTTATACTATTACATGACAATGTGCACAGAATGTGTTGCAGCTCGCTGATTGGCCCCTCCGTGCCCTTGAGCCTTCTTTCACCATCTCGTAGGTGCAGAAACTTGCCACTCTGCACCCTCAGTTTCTCCCTCCTGCAGATACCTGCTTGTGACGAGAAATACACAAACCACCAAATCCTGTCTCCACTTACACTTTCTCATGCTGCAATGGTTTATCAGTTGTGTTGATTATGCCTTAAGATAATAATGTGAGATTAAGATAATAATAAAAGTGAGGAGAGTAACACCAAATTATCAAAATATGAAATCATGTGAGATTGATATAATAAGAGATTATCAAAACATTAATATAAATATATGATCCTAACAAGCACAATGTCATTAACAGAATATAATTTAAAATGTATTTAACAGATCTCTATATCATTCACCTGCAGTCCTGTGGCACTCCTCCATGATGGCTCTGACAGGTTTATGTCCAGCTAAAACAACAAAGTTGGGTAAAAGCTATTATAGGGTGAGGCACACTTCTCTGACCACCCTGCATACAGTTGCCTTACTCATGTGCTCTGCATCTCTGACATTGTACAAAAAACTTCCATTTGCAAAGAAACGCAGCGCAAGACACAATATCTGTTGGGATGTGAGAACATGACAATGGTTGATATTGTTGCACATGTAAGGACGGATTAGGTTGTATATGTAGATATGACTGTGAAACGGTACTGCTCAAAAAGATAACTGTCTGGAAATGCTAGAACATCTATGCGTGGTCTGATAACCATCTCCCGACGAATATTTAACTCTCTGCGCAGTAATGCTGCACCTTCATCCACGGGATCATTATCAAAAGGACATGCCATGTTAGTGAAAAAAGTTGCGCACAACTCTGCATGTTTGCAGATAAAACACATTCCCTCAGCTGAGAATCTGTATCGCTTATAAATAATAGTCAGGAAACACTTTGGTTAAAGGGAGACGCTCTTTCCAGCCAATTTAAATACGAAAGTCTGAACATAACCTGCTCCCAACCAGGTTAGCTCCACAGCATCAGTTACCATGGAGCCAGGTAAAAAGAGAGTCACCTGTCTTTAAGCTCAGCTTCGATAACCCACATCTTGCTTCGTAGCACAGGGATCACGGCGCAAATTTGAACTATATCGATATATGCGATATGGTCTAATTCCATATCACATCTAAAATTATATCGATATATTTTTTATGTCGATATATTGCCCAGCCCAAGGAGGACAGTGGTTTTTGAGGTTTTTCAAGACACTGTGAGATGTTTGGCTGAAGCCCATCAGTGAGAGAAAAGAAGATAAATCTGAAGATGTTTGAAAAACAGTGATCAAGGAGAAGTGATGCACCAACGTTTTTTTGCTTTTTATTTTTGGTAATTTTGGCAGTGTGTATGTTTTGGAGGGACTTTTCTACCTTAGCTCCCATAATGCATAATTATTGAAATGTGTGCAAAAAAAAGTTATATTCAGGTCCTCAAAGACGAAAATGTTCCCTTCGAAACCCATTAAAACTAGAACTTTTGATCTCAGCGCCATTACAGCGTAAGATTGAGCAATAATGTTGATAAATCAGTATGTTAAGTTTTAATGTTTTTATTACTTCATGTAACCATAAACTTCTTATACTGTCAAAAAACTCAGAAAAATCCATATAGGGTATTATTTCAGAAACAAAGTTCAAAACAAAGACAGAAAACTTGAAACTGTGAATATTTAAGAGGCTGAAAACGTCAAGGTAATGGATCAAAACAGTTGCATTTTTCTAATCTAATCCAGTAATTAACAGTTGCAGCTCTAAGTTGCTGTTCTGATTTTTGGTAATAAACAGGCAGAAAACATTAAAAAGTCATCCTCAAATCCTTCGTTTTTTTTCTGCTTAGACCCCTCAATGATTGCATTACTGCCATGTAGTTGTAGGAATAGTGCCTTTCGTAATACTCATTGTTCAGGATTTTGAAGAATGTTTGCGTTAAAGGACACGCTAACAATTGATTATTAAAATGCTTGCTGATCAACTGGGCTGAAGTGATGCTACACATTGTGAACCGGTTCTGACTCTTTCTGTCTTTTAGATCTTCAGATGGTGAACCTCACGCTGAGAGTTCTGTCGCGGCCACTGGCATCCAACCTCCCCACCCTCTACCAGCAGCTGGGACAAGACTACGACGAGCGCGTCCTGCCGTCCATCGTCAACGAGGTGCTGAAGAGTGTTGTGGCGAAGTTCAACGCCTCGCAGCTCATCACACAGAGAGCACAGGTAATGATTTTCTGTCAGTGGGTTCCGTAAATTATCATGTTCTGGCTCCTCCTTCTTCAGTGTTTCATTTACTTTGTGTAAAGTACAAAGTTTCACTGGCAGCAGAACTGCTCCAGAGCATAGTACTGCCACCACCATGCTTGATGGTAAGTTTGGTGCACCTGGGGTCAAAGGTTTTAAATTCTCTCCTCTAAACATATTTCTGATCATTGTGGCCAAATAGCTCAGTTTTTGTTCCACCTGAACACAGAACTTTCCTACAGAAGGCCTTTTTTTTTGGTCCATGTGAGCAGCAGCAAACTTCATTGGAGCATTAAGGTTCTACTTCTAGAGCAGGGGTCGGCAACCCGCGGCTCTTTCATCCTTATGCTGCTCCTCCGCGTGCCTTGGGAAAATACATGAAGTGTATTATATTTGTGTGAGTTTTTCTTTTTTAAATTTTAGTTCTGAATTGGAAGATTCATGGGGGGGGGGGGCTGGAGCCTATCCCAGCCGACTTAGGGCGAAGGCAGGGGACACCCTGGACAGGTCGCCAGTTTATTGCAGGGCCACATTTAGAGACAGACAACCAAGCACACTCACATTCACACCTATGGACAGTTTAGAATCACCAGTTAACCTCAACATGTTTTTGGACTGTGTGGGAGGAAGCCAGAAAAAACCCACACTGCACGGGGAGAACATGCAAACTCCATGCATAAAGATCCCGGGTGTCCTCACCGGGACGCGAACTGGCAACCTTCTAGCTGCGAGGCAACGGTGCTAACCACCGTTATTATTTTTTGTCGCTCAAAATATGTGTCACACCCACCAAAAGACGGTATATGTCCGCAAAAATGCTGTGCATTTATCGAGACTTTCAACGCCAGGTAGACCAAGTATGGAGAAATGTAAGAAAAGAAAAATATCAGAATGAAATAGAACATTTAATGATGTCTGTTCAGAGTCATTTGCATTTACCTCTGATGAGAGTAGCGTAGCAGTATGCCTGATTTGTGGTAAGAAACTGGCTAACAATAAAAGGTCAAATGTCGCAAGACATTTCAAAAAGAAACACAGCCTTTGCTAAAAACTATCTGGAGGGAGAAGAAAGAAAAAAAGCTGTGGAAAAATCAATTCAAGAAGTGGATGAAGTCTGCAAATTCAACTACATATTCCAGTTTTGTCGCCGCTCAGTAAATAGTCAGGCATGGGAAGCCGTTCACAGATGGAGAATATATGAAAGAGTCATTTATTAAGATTTCAGAACACCTATTCATGGACTTTAAAAATAAGAGTGAAATTGTGCAGAAAATCAGAGAGATGCCTCTCTCTGCAAAGACTGTCAAAGACAGAACCATAAAAATGGCAGAAAATATCACAAAACAGAAAATTAAAGACATCAGTTCAGCTGCAGCATACTCAATCGCCTGTGATGAGTCCAAAGACAAAAAACTGACATTGAACAAATTGTGTTGTTCTACCGGTATGTGAACTCTGCTTGACCACAGGACGAAATGGTTGAACTGGTACCACCAAAAGGCCAAACACGGGGAGGGAGGACATCTGTGAGGCTGTGCTTGATTGTTTAAGAGCCAAAGAAATAAAAACAACCCACCTGGTTTCAGTGGCTACTGATGGGCCACAGAGTATGACTGGAGCGCACAGGGGCTTTGTGGCCTTACTGCAGAGGTCACTGGATAGAAAGCTGCTGACGTTTCACTGCATCCTGCACCAAGAGGTATTGTGCGCTCCTCCAGAATGCAAAGAGGTAATGAATGTTGTCATTCAGGTTGTCAATAAAATAATGGCAAAAGGTTTAAATCACCGTCAGTTATGTTTCTTGCTGGATGAGGTGGAGAGCTTGTACTCTGATCTCCTGCTGCATAGCAGAGTCCTTCACTTTGCCTTCACTCTGCGGTCCAGCTCACCCCAAACCATCTCGATAATACAAATTCTAACAGTCTATTCAGTAGGACTATCAGCTGTGTATCCACCTGACTTCTGCACAACACAATTGATGGTCCCAACCCCATTTATTAGGCAAGAAATCCCACTTATTAAACCTGACAGGGCACACCTGTGAAGTGAAAACCATTTCAGGTGACTACCTCTTGAAGCTCATCAAGGGAATGCAGAGTGTGTGCAAAGCAGTCATCACAGCAAAAGGTGGCTACTTTAAAGAAACTAGAATATAAGGCGTATTTTCAGTTGTTTTACACTTTTTTGTTAAATACATATTTCCACATGTGTTAATTCATAGTTTTGATGCCCTCAGTGTGAATCTACAATGCCAATAGTCATTAAAAGCAAGGAAACTCATTGAATGAGAAGGTGTGTCCAAACTTTTGGTCTGTACTGTATATGAATAGGCTCATCAATCAAATCTGATTGCAATTTAAAAAGAGAGCTTATAGTTTCATGACTTTGCACCAAAATAGGGTTTAAAAAGTATTTTACCGCACAGGTTACACGTGGTTACATCAATGCAATAACACAATTGACTGGATATTTCCTGGTCTGACTGTTTCAAAGCAGAATGCACGTGTTGGCACCTTTGATGCTCCAGAATGTTCCTCATAGTTTGGAATTCTTTAATCTTTTGAACATTAAAACATGGCAACAAATTTGAAAGACATGTTTCCTTTAAAAAATAAAATAAAATAAAAAAAATCCAACATGACACCATTTAGCAGCCAATAAAATATATGCAACATGGCTCAGAAACAGTGAACAGAGGAGCAGGTTGTTGAGGATACATTCAGCATGGTGAAACATCTTTCTACAGCTGATGAGCAGAGTAGAGAGGAAAATTTTGTAGAGACTGTAAAAATGTAAATGGTTAAATATCTTCATGTTCTGTTTCCATAGAGATGCAGGACTTTACATTGCAGTAAAAAATGAGTCCACAGTGAGAAAAAAAATGAGGCAGGAGCAAAAAACAACCAGAAACAACCTTAAGTTTAGAGCGGAGTGGAGAATCCTTGATAACGTGTTTGGTAGCACTTTTAAGGTTGTGCTTGCTGCAGTAATCATGACTGAGGGCACATTTTTATACACTATGCATTTTTTAAAAACCTGCAGATTGTTTTTATGCAGTTTGAGGTCGACATTCATCAGGATGAAACACCTGATAGATGTTGCTGTCGTCTCCACTTCTCTGCTGTTAGCGTGGCTTAATATTCGCTGTTGTTCAGTTGTACGCTATCAAACATCTAATTATGTCTGTGAAAACTATTTTTGCATATGTCATATGGCATAAATATTACTGTGTATTAATCTATGCATCTATAATCGGGGCTATATTTTTGCATTAATATTGTACTTTATTAATAAAACCACTGTGACTGTTTCAGCTCAGTTGTGCTGACACATAATGCTGAAATAAACCACATTTTCCTCTTTGTTGTAGAAAGATGCTTATCAAAGCAACTTTTCCATCAGTGTTGGTTAATTAGTGTGAGCTGTGTGCTGAGGTCGAGGGGCCTTTCTTCTCTGTTAGGAATGATAGACTGATTTTGTTTTATTTGTAAGGTCCTTACTGTTTCTTGGGTTTTTTCAACCTCATTACAGGGCTTCATGGCTGTCTTTAATGTGGGCTCTGATCAAACACACTGAGATGTTTGTATTATGTTGCAGTTGCTGCTTTTACATAACTTAGTAAATCCAGTTTTACTCATAGTGCACTCTAAAATAACTTGCAAAATGATCTAAATCTGGACTCTTGTTTATTCTAAAGGCAATAACTGCTTTTTATTTTATCTTATTTTACTTCCAGCTGATCTTGTTGTAGTTGACTCACCTTGTCTTTAATCTTAATTGCTCTGTTTATTCTTAATGGTTTAATTATTTCACCAATTAGAATAGAATAGAAAAACACTTTATTTATCCCAGGCCTGGGGAATTTGCCTCATTCATCTCTTTAATTTGCATGTCTTTGCTCGGCTGTATAATTTGTTTCACTCGTGCCTGTAGGTTTCCCTGTTGATCCGCAGAGAGCTGTTTGAGCGAGCAAAAGACTTCAACATCATCCTGGACGATGTGGCCATCACTGAGCTCAGCTTCAGCCGCGAGTACACGGCCGCTGTGGAGGCCAAACAAGTTGGTGAGTCCACGCTGGAGGACAATTTGTTATCCACACCAACAGTTTTGCGTCATGCTGGTTGTATCTGCTGATTGTTACCTACTGGCTCAGACAGCTAATTAGTGAAATTGGAAAACATATTCAGTGATTTAAAGAGTTTAAACTCAACATTTGCTTACTTTTCCTTAAAAATCTAAATCAAAAATTTGTTCATTAATGTTTGCAACATCTGTTAAAATGTTCTTGTTTGTTTGACTCTGTATCTGTTGTTTCGTTTCTTCTTGTTTTTAACAGATCAATATTTAATTCAGGTCTTTGCTCAGGTAAATAAAGGAAACAGCAATGATTACACAAAGTATTAATAAAAAATTAGCCAATGCAGGCCATAAGAATTGTTGCCCAGTAATTACAAGATGCGCTATACATTACAAACAACCTTTTTTTTTTTTTTTTTTTTTGTAACAAAATATTTTTACATCTCATTGACTCCACTGGGGGCTGCAAGGTGGCTCGGCTCGGTGGTTAGCACCGTCACCTCACAGCTAGAAGATCACCGATTCGCATCTTGGTGAGGGCACCCGGGATCTTTCTGCGTGGAGTTTGCATGTTCTCTCTGTGCAGCATGGGTTCTCTCCAGGTTCTCCAGCTTCCTCCCACAGTCCAAAAACATGTTGCGGTGAATTGGTGATTCTAAATTGTCTGTAGGTGTGAATGTGAGTGTGCTTGGTTGTCTGTATCTAAGTGTGGCCCTGTGATAGACTGGTGACCTGTCCACGGTGTCCCCATGGTTGGGATGGACTCCAGTGACCCTAGTGAGGATTAAGCAGTGTGTAGATGATGGATAAATGAACAAGCTGTGTTTTAGTCTGCTGTTCTGGGCTCTCAGAGTCTGAGTCTGCCAGAGGGTTTTTTTCTTTATATTTTAGAATTTTTTTATTTAAAATCTGTTTTAAATCAAATAATTAATAATTTTCCATGAGTAGCTCTAGTGCTGCCTACTGAACCGTGTTAATATGATTATTCCTGCGGTGTGTTGACCACAGTGGACGGATGTAGCTCAGGATACCTGGAAAGTTTAGAACTTCCTATTGTGTTTGGGCTCTGCCAACAGAGAACATCCACAAATTAAAGCTTCTCCAAATGACTGATTGAATTACAGCTCCTTCAATAATGAATTATAAACCTGTGATTGATGGAGAATCACCTCTTAATGTCACCATTCATACCAAACATAGGTTTTAATTTTGGGATGCGTGCAGACATCTGCTTCAATTTCTGTCAAGTCTACCATTAATACATGAATTGACCGAGTTGCCAAAATACACCTTGAAATTTAATGTAAGGGGCTTGGAGTTTATTCACAGAGCATAAAAGAAAGAAAGAAAGAAAGAAAGAAGGTGGACTCGTAATCAGACTAACTTGTTGATTCAGTGTTATTTATAACTTAATGCTGTCCCAGCGGACTTAGGGCGAAGACAGGGGACACCGTGGACAGATTGCCACTCTATGGCAGGGCCACACTTAGAGACAGACAACCAAGCACACTCACATTCACTACGGACAATTTAGAATCACCAATTAACCTCAACATGTTTTTGGACTGTGGAAGGAAGCCGGAGAACCCGGAGAGATCCCACGCTGCACGGGGAGAACATGCAAACTCTACGCAGAAAGATCGTACCCTCCCATTAAAGAAGGAAAAAAAAACAGCTGTCACTGAAATAAGTTGAAATTGACAAAAGTAATAATAAATAAAAAATTTTATGAAAATCATGACATTTCTTTTGAATTGTGGTTCACCAACAGAAATATTTTAAAAAAAACAAAACAAACCAAAACAAAAAAAACAAGCATGATGGGACCCGTAAACTAAATATTTTGTTGAACAACTCTCTGAGACAATCACTGCAATCAAGTGTTTTCTGTAACTCTCTTTTTTTTTTTTTTTTTTTTTTAATGATTCTTTTCAACCACAATTCAAAAACAATGTGGTATTTCACTAAATTATAATTAAGCAAATTTTTATTTATTATCACTTTTTTCAGTTTCTAGTTTTTTGACTGACTCTTGTGAATTTTGCCTTTTCTTTAATGGAAAGGTATGAATAAATTTGAGGACGACTGTAGTTGTTTGGTCCCTAAAATGTCAGAAAATGTTGAAAAATGTTGATCTGTGTTCAACCAAAGATGACAAATGTCTCATTTTGTCCAAAGATGTTTAGTTTACTGTCAGAAATGAGGAAATATTCACATTTAAGATGCTGCAATCAGAGAGTTTAGACTTCTTTACTCTAAAAAAAAAATAAAAATCTTCCAACTGATAAATTGAATATCAAATGAGTTGGGTTATTGGTGATTAGTTTAATATTACTCAGACGCACTTATCCAAATTCTCCGTCCATCTTAGTGTTTTACATGATATGTAATGATGTTTTTGTTTGTTTGTTTTTAAATGAACCATTGTTATTTACAAGTTGCACTGGTACTCCTAGTTTTAATATTTAGTAGCTTTGGTTCCAAAAATGTTTTACGTCTGGATGGAATTATCTTCAGTTGTCAGTGATCTGATCTGTAAACTTTTTAAATAGGTTTCTTGAGGGTCACAGGATTTCCAGCTTTGTTTTTCAAGCTGCTCCTGACTGACTGTTTGTTCCTCTTCAGCCCAACAGGAGGCCCAGCGAGCTCAGTTTTACGTGGAGAAGGCCAAACAGGACCAGAGACAGAAGATCATCCAGGCTGAAGGAGAAGCTCAGGCTGCCAAGATGGTGAGCTAATCTGGTTTCCATGCAGCTGGAAAATTAGGATTTAAGAATCTGTGCAAGCAAGTTAGAATTATGAAAGTGGATTTCTTAAGTCAGAACCTGCAGAGTCTGTTCAAGCGCAGCAAACTAATTTGACAAGTTCTTGTGTGTTGTGGTTTGTTGCAAGTTGTAGCTGCTTTGTAATCATCTAATTAACACCTAAAGCCGCCGTTAACCCTCTGAGGTCCAAGCAGGTTTTGGCAGTTTTTTCTTTCTCAGAACTCATAAAAAAGTTTAAAAAAAATTGGGATTCTTAATTTTACAAAAGTTAAAAGAAAAAGAAATCAACATGTTAAACATTTTGACCAGCACCCAAAAGTGTTGCTGGAAACAAACTGTACCTTTATATACTTTACATATTATGGATATTCACTAAAAAATTTTGAATTTTTGACACCTAACTGTTGGTCCATAGTGTCTTCATGGCTTGGAAGAGGAGTGAATTTTTTTTGGTTTTTTAAAGAATCTGGTTAAAGCAAACAATTATTGGCTATTTTTTTAATGCGACATGTAGGATAAAGTGATTTTAATAAAGTATATTGATTTTCATTGTTCTTGATACATTCTTTTGGACGGAACAACATGTCACAGATGAGTGGTTCAAGGATTGTCAGGATGACTTTTCCTGTTTTTACAGTTTGTGATTGATACGTGGTGTAAATACATGTTTTTAATTATGATAGAAAACAAGCCTTTTAAACCTGCTGGTGGGTTTTGGGGTTCAGAGGGTTTAACAGCCTCCAGAGCTTCACCTCACGAGTTCCCTGTACTGACGTGAGCTCCCTCGGCCTCGCCTCATAATTGTGGCGAGACTCGGAGCGAACACTTATCTAAATATGCAGTAATTATTTTCTCTGGCTGTCAACATGCGTGAGAAATTTAGAAGCTGAGCAGCGACACACCTGCAGCGATGATCCTGCTGCTGGTCCGGCTCAGCCTGCTGCTCTGCCGCCTGGGGCCATAAACCGCAACTGTGCTCCCCTGTGAAACACTAACACTCTGAATCTGTGTGTGATAGCTGGGCGAGGCCGTGACGAAGAACCCAGGCTACCTGAAACTCAGGAAGATCCGGGCGGCGCAGAACATTGCCAAGACAGTAAGAAACTCCAACCTGAGCACCGTGTTTTTCTTCATTCATCAGAAACCTGCTTGGAAAAGATTTTGTTCTGTATGTTTCTGTCTGCAGCTCCCAAGCAGAAAAACACATACAAAGTACGATGAATTGTCCAAAAAGTCCTTGATAGCACACTTCTCAATAGAATCACCAGTTCACCTCAACATGTTTTTGGACTGTGTGAGGAAGCCGGAGAACCCGGAGAGATCCCACGCTGCACGGGGAGAACATGCAAACTCTATGCAGAAAGATCGTTTCTCCCAATAAAGAAGGAAAAAAAAACAGCTGTCACTGAAATAAGTTGAAATTGACAAAAGTAATAATAAATACAAATTTTATGAAAAGCATGGCATTTCTTTTCAATTGTGGTTCAACACAAATATTCAAAAAAACAAAAACAAGAAACAAGCAAATAAGCATGATTCTTTGCAATCACAATTCAAAAGCAATGTGTTTCACTAAATTATAATTTAGAAAATTTTAGTTTAATATTACTTTTTTCAGTTCCTAGTTATTTGTGTGACTTGTGCATTTTGCCTTTTCTTTAATGAAAGGGTATGAACCATTCTAATCTGTATGTATACATAAAGTTTTATTGATTTGCAAGTCAGCATGACTAAAAATTGGTAAAAACCCTTAAACTTGAGTGTTCTGTAAATCCTGCTGAAGTGCAGCTGCCATGTCGGTGAGCTGCTGCGTTCAATGGCGTGCACTAGGTGGCGACAACAGAACATGAAACTGAGGAAATCTTTCAGGCCTGAAACAAAAGATCCATCCTCTGAACCTCCTCTTGCCCTCTGCTCTTACCTCAGACCTCCATGAATGAGTCATACCAACCTAAATACAGAAGACACATAAAAACCTTTGAAATTTTCCTCAAGTGCTGCGCTTCAGGAATCATTTTGGGAAAAATTGAAGTCACAAAAATATGTATAAATCACAATATTTAATTAAATGCTTTTGTTCTAGGAATTAATTTAAAATGTTTTGAACTGAGGCTCCCATAAAGAATAAACTGCACAACTCTTTGTGCTCAAACACAAAAGTTAATGTGAAGTTAACTCTCTGAGCTCCAAGCCTAATTCTCTCATTATTAGCAGTGAGCTCGTTTGTTGATATTGAGATAGGAAACTGTATGAATGAGTGTGTTTGTCTGCATCACTGACTACATTCCTGCTTTAACAGGCTCTGTTTATGACGCTGTGACCTCGCAGCTCAGTGTAACGCTCTCTGTCCTCACACTGCAGTCACGTCATCCGGACCAGGCACTTTGCCGGTGTTTCCTGCGTGGACGCCGAGCAGGCCTCAGCAGCTCTCGCTCCACCGTGAATCGGCTCAGTGTTGATGCCCGGACAATGTTCCCATTGTGCTCAGTCTGGCCTGCGCGCTGAAAAACTTTCCACCTGTGTTTTCTCTGCACTCACTTGGCTCTGTGTTGTGTTTGGCCTGCAGGTGGCGCAATCCCAAAACAAAGTGTACCTGAGTGCCGACAGCCTGGTGCTCAATCTGCAGGACAGTGGCAGCTTCAAGTGAGTGACATGGGGTTTAAATCACATATTTTTATTCAACTGAGGATGGTAAATTTTAAGCACAAGCAGCAGTGCAAGAACTGCAATTCAAAAACACGTCTGAAGGCAGGATTCTGTCTGTAAAGTCTGGTTTGGATTTAATCCTGTTTTTAATGTATGAGAGTGACAATTACAGCTGGTGTTGGCAGATGCTGCAACCCAAATAATCACACAAAGAAACCAGGGGCCTCATTTATCATGTGTGCGTAGAGTCATTCCTACGCCAAGTATGGAACTGATCAATGTGTACTTATACTAGGGAAGGTGTGTGCATATACGCCAACTCTGACCATGCTTACGCACATAAAGTGTGGAAATGTTTTAGCTGGACTTAGTATGGTTATTAAAACATCCGATCTGTAGGTGATCAGGGTTATCCACTGGGTGAACATTCGGTATTAATTTGTCCTCCTTCAGTTGCAGTCATTTCTCTTTTATGGGCTGTGATGCGTTTTTTGGCACTTACCTTAACGTCAAACCACTTTTTAAAAATTTTGCCTGCGATCTCTCCTCTGACCCAACAGAAATTGTTATCTTGTCCTATGCAGTATTTTTTTTATTTCGCTGCTTATCCTACTAGTCAGTCAGAACTGATGAAGCCTCTTGGATAAGAGGTGAAACGTCTTCAACGAGCTCAAGCAAGTCCAGTTGCTACGATTAATCTACCAGAATAATCATGACCTGGATGACTGAGAATCTTCACAGACATACTTATCCCAACATTTCACGCACCAAACAATATTTTCTGGTTTGCTTCAGCCTTGCTGACAAGTACCTCAATCTCAGTTTCAGGAAAGTTCCTCTTTTTTGCCCTTTTGCCACGATGATGACAAAAGGTGAGGGGAAAAATAAATCTTCACTTGCTATATAAAGAGGTGTGTTGTTGCCATATATGGTGATTTGGAGGTGTTTCTGAAGGCAGTGTGACAAGCACGGAGGTTAAGAACAAGTGAGATTTATCAACACTGATGTATGTACGACCCCCGCACACTCTAAATTTCATGCCTTCAACAGAATTTAGAACTTTTTCTATGCACTGATAATAAATGAGGCCTCAGAATTATTGGTGATTGGTCATCCATTTAAAATCCAAATTGCAGGGCACCAAAGCTCTTTTTTTTTTTTTTTTTTTTAAATGAATCACACCAAGTGTTTTGGATGGATAGATAGATGTTATATTTAAGTAAAAGTTAAGAAAAGAAGGAAAACAAGGTGCGATTGCTGTTTGGATACGAACCAAGTTAAGATGCGGGAGAAAGAAAAACAAATCCAATGGTGCTGGCACATTTAAAAAGAGTATTGAAAAGTATGTATACAGTAAAACGTTACTGCAGTCGAAGGACACAGAACATTCACAATGAAGCCGTCAAACCCCAAAACCAGCCGGTAGGTTGAGCAAAAAGGAAAAAAAACAAAACAAAAAAAACCCCGCCACATTTAAACCATTTAAAAGACCCACAAACTGTTAGTCTGAATATGATGAATGCCGCTTGAATTTTTCTTTTTTCTTTTTTTTTTTCTTCCTCTCAAATCCAAGTTTCTTTATTATTTGCAGCATCAGAAACTTTTCTTGGACGCTTCCGTAATCTATCTCTAATAAAAGAAAACATTTTAAAGCTAATATGGAAGCTGCTGCTGTTCTCACTGAACTCCGATATCATTCTGGATGTATTTGATTTGGTCAAACTGGTGCCATTGACAGAGCTGAATTATCCATCAGCTGAAGGAATGCATAGTTACTTGAATCTTACTCTTAGAATAAGACAGAACCTGAAGGAAATCCTTGTTCCAGTTATTGCTCAGATAAAAAATGCATGCAGTACAGCTACAGAACATAAGGATTAGTAAAAAATAAAAAAGAACAGTGAGCTAAAATACAGCTAGAATGGCAAAAGTCACAAGTAATAATGAAATAGGTCATATTACAGATGATAATGGGTATTAGTACACCAGTTCATTAATAACAATGATATAATATTAAAAGCTCAGAGTTCCTCTTGCTATGTTTGGTTATTAATTGAACTGAATGCAGATGTACTGTCATCACAGTGTTGTAATATGTAATCTCTGATTTTCTTTCAGTTTGTCATTGAAGTGAAGAAGTCACCTCCCTGCTGGTTTGCCATCATTCCTCCAGTTTCTTCCAGTTCACTCATTCTACCAGGTTTATCTGTCTATCAGTCACGTTTACAGGCTGCCGCAATACTGACTTTAATGTGTCAGTCAGCAGCCGCTCAAGCTGCTTCATCAGTGACAATAAAAAGAGAACTTCCTCTGACGTTTTTCATCAGCTGTGAGCGTTTACAGTTAGCCAATAACCAGCAGCTTTTGGTTTAACTTCGCCTCCGGACGTCACAGAAGAACATGTAACTCACATTTTATTAATCATTACAACTTGTCGGTCTCATGTCTGAATAAACTACCATTTCTGTATCACTTTCTGAAATTACACAACTCGGTCTCAATACCAGAACATCAAACAGTGCAGTTCTGTCAGAATCACTGGGGTCTGAATAGCTAATAGATGTGTTTGAGTTTATACAGTTGAGAGGCTCATAAGGAGGTTGGAGTAATTATTGGACTTCTACACAAAAGACTGAGGTGTTGAACCATTATTTTTTTCTCTTTGTTTAGTTCAATTGCTTGTTTTCACAACTTGTTTAGTTACTTTTAGGAGAAGGTCTTGATTTGGGCTAAAACACACCCATTCACACCATTAACAACAAGTCACAAGGCAAACTTCTCGTTGACTGAAGAGTAGCAGCTCATTAAGCCAGTTTCGGATGATTTTTATAAGACTATCGGACTACGCTGAAGGTTACCCAGTTTGTTCAGGCGTGACTCCAACTAGTCCTGACAAAGTGGTGGTAGGTGACGAGATGGTAGTGAGATTACAACATATAGGCGACTGATGTAGGACAATTTCACAAGCCGCAAACGTCACGCTTCAACAAAGCTACATCCTAGAGATACTTAGTTGTCTAATTAAGCAGCCGTCCAATTCATCCTGGTACTGCTGCATTTTAAGGGACAAGGCGTTGCGTTGCCAGCTTCTCATTTACATAGCGTCTCAGCTAATTTACACAAACTGGAAACTCCAGACAAACCTTAAACTGTTAGTGATCTGAAATGAAGGCCAATTCAGCAGCCAATTTTTCACCTCAAATGTTTCCAAAAAGCATTTTGGTGAACTGTTCTTATCATAAAAGTAAAGTTTCCAAAACAAGCTGTCATGTTGGTCCGCTTCAACATTCAAGAGCAGACACCCTACGAATGAAGCATCCACCCAATTAGGTACAGCCAATAATTGAGATTAAACAACCCATTCTCAATCCCAGGGCGTCAAATGCTGCAGTTTTGTCAGTTGCTCGTGTCCATATTGCTGATAAATGTTTGGGAGGTTTTCCGTTAGAAAAGGCTTAAAAGGAGGTTCTATTGGTGACTATCACCAAGAAGACACAGGTGTTGGACCTTTAGTTTTCCTCATAGTTTTGTTAAAATTCTTCTGAGTGAAGCCTTCATCCATTAAGGTGCAGCCAGTGTTTGCGTGGCTGCAGGAGGGTGATGGAAATTCCCTGTCTGTTATCTGTTTGTACACCTATCGAGTGTCACGACCCTTTGCATCTAAAAACGCCCCTTTGGACATGAACCATGAGACAATATTGGGAGACATCAAAGAAAGAATAAAATATTTGCCGAAAAATGACGGTCAGAGATCTCATGTAAACAAACTTTGGTCTCACACAGCATTGCAGAACATTGTCATTAATGTTGGATGCAAAAGTATACTTCATTGTCTTGACACGTGTCATTTTATACGACTTGAAAACGACTAAAGAGACGACTGTATTTCCCACAAGGTTGAACTGCTCCTTTAACGTGCTCCACATACATGATTCTGACCAAAACTGGACCAAAAATAAGTAGGTTGCTTTGAGACTGCAGGGAACAGTAGAATGACTCCACTTGTACATTTTCACGCAGTTTGATTCAGCACAGGTGAGTATTGATCAGTGCAGAGATCAGTGCGAGTTCGCTCAGCGGGTCCAAGCTGCAGTGACTCGCAGCAGCTTTTGTGTTTTGTAACTTCAGTAAGCGTTTCCATTGAGCAAAGCCTCAGACATTGTTGAGTCACGATCCTTAATGCCAGCCAGTATTTATGCCAGGATACGGTGGAGTTACCAAACACACACTGTTATCTTGGTATACATGAAAAGCCTGAATGTTCTGTATGTTTGCCTGACCCCGGATCCACCTCTGCTCAGCCTCGACATCTCATGGAACTTATATTGAATAAACATCTGTAGATTGGGCACAGTCAGAACACATGAAGCTTCTTATTTACATTATGTCTGATTTATGTCTCTTTAAATGACCCAGTACTTAATAAAATGTTGAGCCATAAATGTAAAGTCCTTTACATGATTTCCCAACTGCTAACAATAACCCTTAATTTAAACAGTCAAAGTATACTGAATCACTTAGCCAGAAAAAGTACACAGTGTGTCTATGATTTTATGTAAAGTCCCAGAAGCATTTACAATCCTTGAAAAAACTGCATCACAAAAACAAAGGTTATCAAACCTTTATCACCTGTTTAATGCAGACTGAAATGGGCTCTGTCAAGTATCAAAACCTGGTCTGATGTTTCATGTACTTTTCTTATTCTTTGGCGCATACCTCTGTATTTAAAACACAAGACACATTTTTGTTTTTGTTTTTTGTTTTTTGTTTTTTTTCGGTGAGGGGGGTGCGCGCTCGGGCTCCGACGAGCTGGAGTGAGCGTGACGCACAGGCCGCATTTGGCTACAAAGACCAGTTTCTGTGTTTACGTTAGCGGTGGCGGCTCCGTTTCCGCGGCGGCGGGGATTTTCGGAGATCAAGTTTGATATCCCGATTCCAGCACAGCAAACGAATAGTCGGCTCTTCGGGTCCAGCCCTATGAATTTCTACACCAAATTTCATCATAATCCATCCTATAGGTAGTGAGAGAGTACATTCAAAACACCTTGGTTTGAAGATTTCCTTGATTGTCATTTGTCCTTTGGGCATCCTGAACATTTGTTCTAAGTTTTGTAGACGTCTGAAACGTGAAGAGAAGCCCAAAGTACATGATCGCAGTCACAGGGTTGGGAGCAGCTGGTTGAATCTAAATCGGTGCGTTTTATTTTATAAGCACATTGTGAGCTTGTTTTATGTGAAATCCTCATCTGAAAAGCAGCTGGAAATTTGAGCTGTCAAGTAAACGTAACGGAGTGGAAGTGACCGTAAATAGAAAAACCACGGTGAGCTTCATCAGTGTGCAGGTTTAGGATGAACAGCCTCGTAACCGATGTCCTCCTCTGTGTTGTTATATTAATATATGACCGAGTGATGGCCGTTATCAGTATAGAATATAATTGCTATGTTACATGAGTGTTATTGCAGGACGTGGGGTCACCTTCACTGATTTCTTGCATGTAAATGCGATGTACAGAGCATTTCCTCGCTCTGAATCCAACATACATGACAGGTCATGAATATTCATGCAAACATGCCATCGTCTGATTTATAAACAGCTGCTCTGGTCCCTTCCATACATAAGGCAATGAGTTTTCTCTGGAATAACTGTAGCTTCTAATGTCACCAATGGTTTTAGTGAGCAAAACTTAGTCACTAATAGAAATGTTGGACATTTTAGAATAAGGTGGAGCGAAAAAAAGACATTGTTATATACCTATGTAGATGAAGACCTTTTTTTTTTTAAACCAATCAGAAGTAGTGAGAAGGTTAGAGATGAATTAAAGCATGCATGGATCAGAGCAATAAGTGAAATTCCAAGTGTAATTATAGTTATTATAAATGGTATACTGGTTGTCAGTGAGGTGCAGATGTTTCTCGTTCGGTAATATTTGTCAAAAAAAAAAAAACCCTGCTGCTGGTGTTTCCTCAAAGCTTGTTTGTTGCAACAGTGTGTCCACCGCAGATTTTTTCACTCATTTTGTTGAGACAGAAATAGAAACTCGGCTAACTGTCTTTATCTTTGTACCCATTTGAGTCGGGCAAGTTGTAATTATTCTTGAGTCAAATAGTACCAACCACAAAACAGTGGATCAGTCGTGACTTAACTTCTCTTTACATCAGAACTTATTCGGAAAAGATGTTTCCTTCCCATAAAGCTCAAAAACCGCCTCAACCTAGCAAAAAAACCCAACTTTTTTTCCCCCCCAATTTGGGCGTTTCCATTAACTTTTTCCATTATGATGCTTCAAAATGTGCATATAAACACATTATAGAAATGGGGCTTGTGCGGCATTCTCTGTTTTTTCTACTCTTATTTCTGACCTTTTTCTTTTTTAAGTTAATATTACGATTTAGTAAATAAAATCCCAGTTAACAAAAAATAGTTTAAAAAGTAAACTACTATTTATAATTTCAGTTATCATTTTGGTGCAGATTATGTTCCTTTATTTCCCAAATTCCTCTATGAAGGAAAGCCCGTGTCCATGTCAACCTGATTGTATTTGATATCACTGTCACAGGGTTAAAGGAGACAGTCACTAGGGCTGCAACTAACAAGAATTTGAATTTGTGGAATAAATTATAGCTTTTTTGTTCTGGATTAATCTTGTTTGTTGTGTAAAATGTAAGAAAATAGGTTCCCAAAGAAAGACATTCAAGTTTAAGAAGCTGGAGTAAGATCATTTTGACTTTTTCTTTAAAGACGGACTCAAACAGATGAATGAATTAGCAGAAGAGTTGGAGATTAACTTAATGGTTGACAAATAATAATGGGGTCCGTTGTCGTCGACCCGGGGGGTCTTAGTGAATGCTGCTAATGGGTAGCAGCAAACATGCTAGCGAATAGCAGCGTTAGCAGCGAAGACGACAGTAGTGAAACTCTGTTGAATATATTCCCGTTACATACCCTTGAAAACAACGTATCAGCCCAATTTGCAGCGTAATTTTTTCAGGCAGCAGTGTAATGGGCCGTTACTCTGTTATGATGCTGGCAAGAAACCTGTATGCAATCATTATTGTTATTATTACTATTACTATTTGCATAGTTTATTTTATGACTGAATCGCTTGTGCACATACGGGGATTCCCACTGATAGAAAGAAAGTTGCCATATACCGGAGCCCGCTATACTGGGCTGCAGGGTTGACGGGGTGAAAGCCGGCATAGCAGGCTATAGTGTTGAAAGGGTTAATGTGGACAAAAGGCTGAAAGTAAGAAAAAGATGCATGTTGTGGACCATCACACAGACTGCAAAGCTGGGAGGGCAACAGCTGCTGTTCATTGTGAACAACTAAAGGGCCCATCTGCACTACAGGGCCGAGTTGGAAAGACTTAAATGTATGCAAATATCCTCTGACGCTGTTCGAGTAGCAGTGACGGGGAGAGCTGGTAATCCATTTACAAAATAATGAACAAAATACCAGTCAGACTAGAAAACATCATCAAGGT